GGTAGGGAAAATAATCGCCCCTCAAAGATGTCCATAGTTAAGCCACTAAAACCTGCGACTATGTTACATCCCAAAAGGGACTTTGCAGATGTGGCTAAATTAACGATCTTGAGATGGGGAGACTATTACAGATCATGCAAGGGGGGCTCAGTGTCATCTCCAGTGTCTTATGAAAGGGGAGGCAGGAGGATGGGGCTTGGATGCTTTCCCTCAACATAATGTTTCCAAGGTTTATCCAAAGTGCAGCATGTGTAGTATTTCATTCCTTGCTGAGGCTGAGTAATATGCCACCTGTATTTTATGCACTTTCTCACCAGTGGACATGTGAGTCGTTTCACCCTTGCACTACTGTGTATAGTACCACAATGGACAATGAATACTGTAAGGAAACAACAATCCTAGGCTGCTGTGAAGACGAAGGGAGGAACAATGAGCCAAGGGATGCAGGTTGTTTCTAGAAACTGGAAAAGGCAAGGAAATGAGTTCTCTTCCTGAGCTCCAGAAGGAATGAAGCCCTGTGGACACTGACCAGTGTCCTGTGTCATATCCCTGCTCCAGAAAGGTAAAATGAAGCATTTCTGTTGTTTCAATCCACTGGTCTGTGATCATTTGTTACAGCAGTCCTAGGACACTAATGTAGTTGCTATGTTTGCTCCTAGAGCTAGGAAAGTGTTGATTTGGTTCACAAACACCTGTTGAGCCCACAGTCTGCACATAACGGTTTACAAGCATTTGGAGCCTACAATATGCTTACACATATCTACTTCTTAAAACAGGGTGTTATTAGACCTCATGTACAGCTAAGAAAATTGAGGCACATAGGAGTTAACTGCAATAAATCAACATGGTACTGCACATGGTGATACCCACCAGCATCAATCCAGACAAGTGCCAAATGCAACCAAACCTCAGGTCTTAGCTGTGTACCTGGTAAGCCTTTAGTACAGAAGAGATGAGGCCCTTTTAGAGAATCCTATATCCAGACACTAAAGCCCAACTGTTCTAGTTCTAAAGGTTCGTTTTCTTTTTTCTTTTCTTTTCTTTTTTTTACCATTTAAAGCAATCTGGGTAAGGATCAGCAGGTGGCATGGTTGTTAAGGCGCTGGACTCCCACATGAATGACTGTGGTTCAAGTCCTGGACTGGGCGGCTTGTTTTCTCACTTTCTCTCTCTCTCTGGTCAGCCCACGTGCCCTACAGCAAATTAAACAAATAATAATAATAATACATAAATAATAATAAAACCAGTTGAGGTAAAATTACACATAATACAAAACTGACCATTTTAACCATTTTTAAGTGTTCAATTCAGTGACGTAAAGTGTATTCAGTGTTGCACAATCATCATTACTACCTAGTTCTAGAAACTTTTCATTGCTGCAAACAGAAAATCCACACACATTAGTCTCTCCTCATCCCTCTCTCCCTCAGACCCTGGCAACTACTAATCTACTTATTGTCTCTGTGGGTTTGCCTTTCCTGGCTGTTTCATGTAAGTGGAATCATAAGAGATGTAGTTTTTTGTTCCCAGCCACTTTCACTCGGCATAATGCTTTTGTCTGATTTATCCATGTTGTAGCTTCATTTCTTTCCATGACGGAATAATATTCCATTTAATGTATATACTACATTTGTTTATCCATTCCTCTATTGATGGAGATGTGGATAGTTTCTACCTTTTGGCTATTGTGAATAGTGCTACAGTGGACACTGGCATACAAGTATCTATTTACTCACTGTTTTCAGTTCTTTCGGGAATATACCAACAAGTAGAATTGCTGGGTCACATGATAATTCTATGCTTAATTTTTTTTTAATAATTTGTTAGTATGTAAGCTTGCTGTGAGAGACAAAGAGAGAGAGGAAGAGAAAGAAGGAGAGAAGAGAGCATTTCCCATGTGGCATTGGTTATGCCACAATCCTTTCCTCTCCATCTCTCCCTCCTCTCAGGATTTTGGGCACACACAGACACACCTGGCATGTTTCATAGTTTCTGGTTCTGGAACTCAAACTGTGAAGTTGGCCATTTGGGATCCAGTCGTTGTAATCACCAGGTCCTGGGCTGACCCAGTGTTTAGCTTTTTGAAAACTGCCAAACTGTTTTTCATAGCAGCTACTTCATTAGTTTTACCATTTTTGATTAAATATTTATAATATGTAAAGCTTCCTGTTTTCTTAAACCAAAGACAGTATAATATCATTTTAACATTTTCTTGGCAACTCTGGATGGTCATTATTAATTAAAGTCAATGAAAAGCAGAATTTTGTCAGCTCTTTAATTTGGGGTCAGGAGGAAATAATGATGATATTAATGATCATAAAAAAGCTCATCCTATATAGCACATAAAAGCACAAGATCTTGGTAAGCAGTTTCTATATGTAAACTCACGTAATCCTGCAGGGAACTCTGAGAAATAGGTTGAAGTATTTACTATTAATCTCCACCTGTGTGGTTAGTATAATAAGTGCACAGGGAAGTCATATAACTTGCTAAGCTCACATGGAATTGATTCTTTGCCTGTTTCCTTAGATAATTGTTCTCAAAGTGTGGTTCTCATGCCAGCTGTATCAGCATTGCCTGAGAACTTGTTAGAAGAGCAGATTCTCCAGCTGGTTCCTTGGCCTGGTGGTAAAAGCAGCTGGATCCCACATGGCAGACCCTGTAGTTCAAGCCTCAGACTTGGTGACACTGGGCTGGGCACATGTGCATGAGTGCCCGAAATCCCCAAGGGAGAGAGAGGTGGAGGAAAAGAAATTGTCACCTAACAATGCCTCATGGGGCAGGAGTTATGGGTGGAGGTGTGCTTTCTCTCCTTTCCCTCTCTGTCAAGTGCAATTGTGCCTTCTAGAAAAAAAAAATGAAAGAGAGAAAGAAGAAAGAAAGAAAAGAAAAAGAAGTCACCCTTGACCTACTGCACCCTTGACCTACTGAATTACAAACCCTGAGGATGGGGCCCAGACACTTGGTTTAACAAGCCCTCCAGGTCATCTGGTGCAGTTAAAGTTTGAGAAACACTGCTCTAAGAGATTTCCCAAGGGAGCTAAGTTAGGGTTGCCAGATAAAAAACAGGACACCAGTAAAATTTGAATCTCAGAAAACAATGAATACCTTTAAATATAAATATTTTTCAGATAGTGCATCTATCTTTTATTTGCAAACTCTGCTAACCCTTTTGTGCAGTTACATTGCAAGGTGACAACTGTTGTAGGTGTTCTATCCTTTTTGATTTATTTGCAAATGACTGAAATAGTTAACAGTCAATGGCTGTTTTCAGTGCACTTAAGAAATTACAAAACCCATGGCAAAGATTAGGGGTGGCATTAACAGTGCAGATGGAAGCGAAGGCTAAGGATGTGATGGGCATTGGAAGTAAAGGTAAGAGCTGGTGCCACAGCACAGTGGTTAAGCATGTGCAGAAGAAGCCAGATCAAACATGGCTGACTGGGGTTCTCATACTGGCCCCTTCAGGAACATATTTGGCACATGCATGTGTGTACAAGATCCCCAAGGGATGAATTGCAGGAAGACAGATTGTGGTATGACCATCCCCAGGCAAGAAGATGTTTTCTCTTTCCTTACCCGCTGGATCACTTGCATATGGCCACACTCTATCATGAATAAAGGCAAAAAAGCTTTTTTAAAGAGTACAGATTTGGGCCCAGCGATGGAGGCACAGTGTTAACAATAGTCTCTGATGCTGAAGGTCGAGTGAAGGATAGCGGTTCTGTACCTTGGGTGTACTCTACATCTGGGAAGGTTTGGGGGAGGATCATGGTATGAAACCTTGGTGAGGTTGCTCATCTTTCTCACTCTCTCCTGAAAGAAATCAATTAGTAATAACTTTAAAAAAAGAACTAAATGTTTACACAAGACGATTCTGTGAACTGGTGAAATCTGTTGTCAAATGTTCTTCCTATCTTTTTTGGAAGCCTAAACCCACTAGAGAGTTCTGGAGCCATCCAAGATGAAGAGAGGTCCTGAGATGCTTAAACTGAGAGAGAGAGAGGGTGTTCTCTGTGGCTAGAGAGAATATGTAGCAATATCTAAGATTAAGAAAGCACCCCCAAATACACCATGAGTCCTGGGCTCAGCAGCTTAAAACTTAAAACATACACCATGAGATATAATCATGCCCAAATCCCTTCTCCTCCAATTCTCTTTTCTTTGGGGATTTTGGGTATGCATGTACATGTGCCCAGTGTCACCAGGTCTCAAATTACAGGGAGTCATTTTAGTCATTTTTTACAGAAGCCCAAACTATCTAAGGCTGTACATTACTAAACATGAAGTAAATTCCCCTAGAAAGGCAAAAGGCCCATATTTAGGCTTTAAACATTTGTACAGCGGTACCAGTTGTTAAACTTGGAATACTTCCACGCCAGTTGGTAAGCAGTGCTCTCCTGAAACTCACTCTTCATCCCTGTAGCTTTTGGCCTCTCCCCTGGTACCTTTCTTCCCTGAGATATCCCTGCAATCTAGCTAACCCAGAAATGCTGCAGCAGGGGGCCCTTCAGTACCCCGCTGCAGCTCTGTGAAAGCACTTTGGTTGGTTGACTGCTGGAAAATGTCAGTATCACTGCTGAGTATTAGCTTAGTGCTGATAAACTCTCTCACCCCCTTTACAAATAAAGAAAGGCACGGGACAGAATTAAGCAACTGTGTCAGAGGTCACACGGCTGGCTACTAATGACTTAAACCTAAGGCCCTTCAACGTCTGAAACCACTTCCATTGTCCTCGGAGTCAGAGTCCTTGGCCCCCAGCTTGGTTCAGAGTCTCATAATCTTGGGCAAGGATCTTCACCTCCCAGTGGGGGAGCAGGTCAAATTTAGAGTGACTCTTTTGGTTTCTCTGCATATCCAGCCATTGGAAAGTGCCTCATTGGAGAAATGTTCCTTGTCTTTTTGTTCAGGGCAAGTAATCAAGTTCAGTGGTCAATTTTAGGCCAGAGACCAACTCAGCTTGTTAATTATTCACAGAGTTGATAATTCTGTTCGTCCCTTGAAACTGCTAAACCAGTGGAGACAAGCTAGAGGAACCACACAACTGGTAAAATAAACTTATTGACAATAACTTGTTGCAGCCAAGCATACTAATATTTTTAGAGAGGGAGTGTGGGCTGATGAAAGCAAAGACACTGTGAAAGAGCATGGCTGAGGGAGCAGACGGACTGCTCTCATGATGTCTGTGTGACTGGGTAAGTCGGGTAGGGCGTGGCCTCTGCTTCAGCATTTAGAAACAGAAAAGTGCCTTGGCAAATTGGTTAGCGTCAGTTATGAGGGATGCACAGTCCAGCTGAGTGCCTGACACCAGGAGTGAAAGTCAAAATATTTACTGATCTGATCTCCTGGACACTGGTTATGATGAATCCATATCCCAGAAGCCCCAGCATGCCAGAAGTTAACCTTGACCTTAGAGGATCATGGGAGAAGGATTTGGTTCTTTACCATGTGGTATGGAAATCCTTGAGTGGCTGTACCTATGTGTTTGACTGAAAAGAGCCCTGTCTGGCAGTTGAAGGAAGAGCTCACTCTTAGGGCTACTCTTCAGTAGGTGGGAGGGAGCAAAAGGCTAAAGCTAATTGTTTGGGGATTGGTTTGTTTCCAATGGCACAGAAGGGGTAAAGCAAATGTAGGAACCTTTCTTCCTACCACCCTCCTATCTACATTCCCCAGAGATAACAATTAGTAGCCAATTCTTATATCTCTTTCCAGAAATTAGCCAATTAGCTTCGCTTCCTCCCATACAAATGGAATCATAATATAATAATGGCCGATGTTTATCATGTGTTTGCTATGTGCCTGGGGATATTGTAAGCATTTTATGGACTATATATATTATAATTTAATCCTCATGACAACTCTGGAAAAGGTGCTGCTTTTATTTCCAGTTTTCCAATGGGGCAACTGAAGCCCAGAGAGCTTGAATCATTTGCCTAAAGTCATACAGTAGGTAGACACAGAAAAAGAACCCAGGAGGTCAACTTATAGCTATCTTACTCTGCTTTATGTTTACATAGCGTTTCTTTTTGTTTGTTTTAAGAGAGATTTTTTTTTTCACTATAGGGAGCGTGGGCTCACCAGACAGAGAGAGAGAGACATAGAGACAGAAAGCGAGAAATAACCCCCCACGGGGGATGGTCACACCACAATCCCTTCTCCTCCATTCTCCTCTCGGGATCTTGGGCACGTACACACACGTGCCTGGTGTGAGTTTTAAGCCACCGGGTCCGGGACGCGAACCGCGGTCGATTACGTGGGAGTCCAGTGACATAGCCATTACGCTAACCTCTGGTTCCCTTAAGAGAGATTTTTGCTATAGGACATGTGCACTCACCAGAGAGACAGAAAGTGAGAAATCACCCCCTGGGGGGGACAGGCATGCCACAGTCCCTTCTCTTCCATCTGCTCTCGGGATCGTGGGCACACACACATGTGTGCGCCTGGCATGAGTTTTAAGTTGCCAGGCCCAGGACTCGAACTGTGGTCTATTACATAGGAGTTCAGTGAAGTAACCATTCTGTCATCTGCATAGCATTTCTTAATATGAACTAATTATTGCTGATTTCACTTATGGCTGGATATTGAAGTTGTCCAAATCTGTTCTAGGATTTATGGTTTTATTGAACATCTTTGTATATTTATCTTTGAAGTTTGAACTTTCATTTGATGTCCCCTTTGTGCCAGGCACTCTTCATTTATAAATACATTTTTATGTATATTTTATAAATCCGTGTATTTTATAATTTAATGCTCTCCATCAGGTTAGGAATCACTTGTTTTTGTAAGTAAGGACATTGAGACTCCATGCAGTTAATAACTTGCCCAAGGTCCCAGTGTTGGTGAATGGCAGAGGCTGGAACTGAACTCAGCCCAGCGGATTCCAGATTCTACACCACCACGGTTGCCATGGAATACCCTTGGCTGTGTGTGAAAATGCCCTGGAGGAATTCTCATGTGCACAGACTCTTCTAATATTGTCATTCTTTGTATTTTTTCTTGTGTACTACTCTCACATTCATTTTGTTACCTATAATATAGGGATAATAATACCCACTCTTACAGACTGGAACATGTACTTACAAAATTCCTATGTTAAAGCCCTAATCTTCAATGTGATGGTATGTGGAGGTGAGCCATTTAGGAGGTAATTATGGTTCGATGAGATCATGACGGTGGGGCTTGCGTGTTGGGATTAGTGCCCTTACAAGAAGAGACACCAGAGAGCTCACTTGCTCTCTCTCTCCTCCCCATGTGAGGAGAGTGAGAGGCAGGCATTTGCAAGCAAGGAAGAAAGCCCTCACCAGGACCTGGCCATGGTGGCACTGTGATCTTGGACTTCCTAGTCTCCAGAACTGTGAGAAATGAACTTGTGTTGAAGTTACCCAGTCTATGGTATTTTTGTTTTTAAAGAAGTTTTTGCCTTAGGGCACTTGTGCTCACCAGGAAGGGAGAGAGACAGGCATAGTGAGAGGGAAAGTGAAAAATCACCTTCCAGGGAGGATGGCAATACCGCAATCCCGGATCCATTCTCCTCCTAGGATCTTGGGCACACATGCACACATGCCTGGCATGATTTTCAAGCCAGCAGGTCTGGGACTCAAACTGAGGTAGACCCTATGAGAGTTTAGCGACATAAGAACTATACTGTTTGCTGGTCCCAGTGCTCTATAGTACTTTTTAAATTATAAATTATTATTAAGATGAACCAGAACTGCATGACAAAAACATCTAGAATAATTTCCAATATTGATTCTGGAGTTATTACATGCTAGGTATCGTTCTAGAGATTCACATGTATTTTAATTTTTAGTGCTATCAGAACAGAATACCATGAACTGGGTGACTTAAAACATAAGAACTGTTGTTCTCCCACAGTTTGAGAGTTAGAGGTATAAAATCAAGGTGGGTGATGGCACGTCTTACTTTCTTAGAGACCTCTAAAGAAAGACTCTTCCCTTCCTCTTCCTAGCTTTTGGTAGCCCCAGGTATTCTTTGGCTTGTCTGCCTCCATCATCACACACTGCTCTCCCTGGGTGTCTGGGCTTTCACATGGCCTTCTCATTGTAAGGACACCAGTCATAGTGATAAAAGGACCTACTTCAGTATGACCTTATCTTAGTAAATTAAATCTGCAATGATTCCATATTTTGCAGGTTAGTGGTTAGGACTTCAATATATCTTTTCCAGAGGGAACAGTTCAACCCATAACAACACGTGTCACCTCATTCAATCCCTACAACCGGCCAATAAATAAGAGATTGTTATTATTCTTCCCATTCCAGAGAAGAAACTAGCAGAACTTTACTATCTCTCAGGCTGCTGTCTGTGAGTGCTGCCTTCGAAGCAGCACTCGAGACAGAGATTTTGGGTGGACGTGATTCACTGAGAAGCACTCCTAGGAAAGAAGAAAGGCAGGAAGAAAGATGGCTAGGGGAAGAAGCTAAGTAGGGTGTAATCTCAGGTAAAACCTAGCGTGGGCCTGATGGCAGGAGGAGTTCTGGAGCCTGAAATATACCAACCAAGTCATTCCCACTTTGAAACAAGCGGAGTGGCCTTTGTAGAGGGTGAGAACCACCTTCTCACAGCCACTGGGAAATTTACATTGAAGCCAGGGAAAGAGAATCTGGAGGAGGAACCAACAACCCAGCTCAAGTTCTCAAATACTATTGAATAGAAGGATTGATTGATTGATGAGGGCCACAAGCATTCATTTGCATCACTGAAGAAAGACGTAGAAGAATAATTAAAATGTTTGAATTGGAAAGAAAGAAAATCCACTACCATTTAGGTGGTTAGACACATTGAACCAGGAGATTAAGCATAGGGAGGTAGGGAGGCTTATTTTAAATGGCTATTTCTTCTAGCCGAAAGTCATTAAATTAAACTGAGAGGGAACCAGCGGTTAGCGTAATGGCTATGTCACTGGACTCTCACATAGTCGACCCTGGTTTGCATCCTGGACCCGGTGGTTTAAAACTCACGCTGGGCGCGTGTGCATATGTGCCCAAGATCCCAAGAGGAGAATGGAGGAGAAGGGATTGCGGTGTGACCATCCCCCCTGGGGGGTGAGTTCTTGCTTTCTGTCTCTCTTTCTCTCTCTGTCTGTCTGGTGAGCGCATGCGCCCTATAGTGAAAACCTCTCCAAAAAAAATTAAACTGAGAGTGAGTTTTGTGGATGGCTGACTACCTTCAGAACTTTCTGCTGTTCTTTTCAATGATGTCTTCACTGAGGCCCCGTTGCTAGCCTAGAGATTGCTGATTTCAAGGCACTTCAGAAGACAAAAATAAAAATTCCATTTAGTTTCCACAGCAGATGACTGTCTGCTCCCTTTGAGTTGGGCCAGAGGGAGCATTCAGAATACATCGCTGCAGGTAAATGGAATTTTTCAGCTATTTAAATTGCAATTCACCCCTGAAAACTCCATTTTATCAAAACTCCTGGTTAATACTATTTTCCCCATTCAGGTATTCTCCCCAGATGCACAGGCAGGAGATGCAGAAGCCCAAGGGGAGATGGTGCCAGAAACAAAGGCCCTTAAAGAGACCTCGGATCCTAATATCCTCAACGCATGCTGTGTAATAAACAGGCCTCATAAAGGACTGACCTTTAAAATAGCAAGCAGGACCACACCCACTGAATCACATGCACCCCAAATCACTGTCTCAGGTGCTGTCTAAAGGCACTGATCTTCTAGGTAACAACCTGATAGACAATAAAGTCCTGCTCTGCTCTTCACCTAAGATAAAAAAAATCACACCCAGAAATTGAAGACCTTGCTGTAGAGAAACATTCATTGAATAAGGTAGCTGCACTTTTCCTCACTAACATGGAGGTCATTTATCTTAACCTCAACCAGTTATCTGGAATACGACCACAAATACAGAAAAGGCTGGTGAGTAATAATCTAGGCTGTAAAATCAAAGGCAGCCTGTACCTTTATTGTTTAAAACAGCAAAGGTTTTGGAGCCTGACAGACACCCATATGAATAGCCTCACTCCCTGAGCAGGGCAAGTACACCTGGATAAGCCCTCAACTTCTGCAGCAGCTTCCTGACTGTAACACAGGGCTGACTGTATATTTGCACAGTGTTCTTGGGAAGACTAATACACAATAACACATTCAATGGCTACTTCATTATCAGGACTTCAAAAAACAGAGCTCTTGGCCTAGCAGCAGTGAAGCCAGCTGCCAAG